AAAACAGCAGCAAGTACCATCTACAAGATGCACTTCAGCGATTCACCATAGTTCCTTTGAGAGTACCATCTAAACTCATGACAACTACCACCTAGAGAAGGACAATGGCAGCGAGTGCATGGGAACTTAAGCATCTGCAAATTTCCCTCCAAGGCATTCACTGTCATGACTTGGAACTACACTCTTCCTTGATGGTTACAGGGTCAATATCCTGGAACTCCCTTAATATCACTGTGGATGCACTTACACCACATGGGCTAGTGGTTCAAAAGGGGAGCCCACCACCATTTTCTCAAGCACAATTAGAGGTGGGCAATAAATACTGCCCTAGCCACCTGTATCCACATCCTCTGAAAAATAGATAAGCATATGAGGGAGAAAATAATTTAAAGTTATTTTGACGGAATTAAATGAAGAGGCACAAAATACAATTCATACAGACTGTTAACTCTAACAGACTTTTTGGCTGTGCTTCATCTATGCAACATCTGCAGGACAGTAAGAAACAAAACAAAATAGGATTCCAATAAAGCAAGATGACCTGCAAGATTATCATCTCCATCGTGCACTTACAGCCAAAGGAATCTAATTACCCAGGATAGTGACCAAGCATTTTCAGTATTTATTACAAGACAGTCTTGAGAGATATTGAACAATTTAACAGTTAAACATTTTTTAATTGGGGTAACATCAGATTTTTTTTCCAAACTTCTTGCCCTGGAGATTAGCAGCTCCTATTGCAAAGGATGTTCCATAGCCAAAAGTTTACTCATTTTTAAAAAGTCTTTTCTTGTCAGGCATGTCTACATCCAATTCTGCACATATTTCAACTATATATAACCAATCTCCTTTTCCTCAAATTTTCTCTTAATGAATTACCCGCTTGCAATCAGAGAGAAAACTACTAGAGATTTTTTGTTGTTTAGTCTTGCCTAATTGTGTGGAGAATGATTGTGGCACACGAACTAACAGCAAAACTCAAAGAACCTGTGGCCTGTACAGCTCAAAACACCTTGGGGAAGCCATATGAATCGATTGATAAATATCTACCAACAGTTGCTTCACAGAACTTGAACATTGCTGAAAATAGATACTTGCCAAAGCTTTTTGCCTTGCAATCAACAGGACAAACACAAAAATGCCAAATTCACAATAATGTAGTCTAGAGGAGAAAGCTGTGAGAGTTGATTGGTCTAGGTGTCGTCATGGAGAAAGAACTGAAAATCTGCAGACTTCCCAAGCTCCCATGTAATTTAAAGGAGGCACAAACTGGAATATATTTCTTTTGTTTACAGAGAATGTGTCCGTGTGTATAAATGTACATTACTGCCAGCAATTGGAAACGAATCACGTTATGAGCTTGACTGATCATATCAAATTGGCTGTTGCTATATAGTTATGTGATAAATATTTGATTTTTAATATAGCTATTAAACAATGAGTGCTGATGACATGAAGGTTAAGTGACCTGGCTCACTGGTAGTTGCAGCTTTCCTCTGCATCGCTTAGGAAACGGTAATTTACAATGGACAGTAAATATGGAAGAGAATAATTTGCTGACAATCTGCCCCAAGGTCAATTCAACTCATGTACATTATACAATGTCTATTGTTCAGATCATGTCTTGATTACAAATAATTATAAAATACAAAATGTTCAAAGTTGTCAAACTAATTTCAGTAAAGAGGCACTCTAATGTGAGAGCATCTTTTTATGATGTGGAGATGATGGTGTTGGACGGGGGCGGACAAAATCAAAAGTCACACGACATTAGGTTATAGCCCAACGGATTTATTTAAAATCACAAGCTTTCAGAGCACTGCTCCTTTGTCAAAGATATCTTCACCTGATGAAGGAGCAGCACTCCAAAAGCTTGCGATTTTAAATAAACCTGTTGGATGACAACCTGGTGTCATGTGACTTCTGAATTCATCTTCTTATGGAAAGAGTAAAGGTTCATTAATAGCTGTGCCCGTCTAAGACTTTAAAGAAAACCATTCACAGTGACATTTCTGATAAGGCCAACATTTGCTGCCCATCTCTAATAGCCTTTGAAAAATTAGTAATGAACCACCTTCTTGAACACAATGGAATGGTTTGCTTTTCAGAGGAGAATTAACAGACATACTCCTCTGTGGTAGTAGGAACTGCAGATGCTGGAGAATCTGAGATAACAAGGTGTAGAGCTGGATGAACACAGCAGGCCAAGCAGCAGAGGAAGAAGGGTCTAGGCCCGAAACGTCAGCCTTCCTGCTCCTCTGATGCTGCTTGGCCTGCTGTGTTCATCCAGCTCTACACCTTGTTATCTCTCATACTCCTCTGTTGGTCTGGAGTCATAATGGGCCAGATCAGATAGAAATGGCAGACTTTCCTTGAAATGGGCAGTTCTCTTTGCCAACAACAATTTAGTAAATTCATGGTCATCATTATGAATACTAGCATTTAATTAAATTGAATCTAAATTTTCCAATTTTGGGATGGGATTTGAACCCACATCTCTGGATCATTATTCCAGGTCTCAGGATTGCTAAAGTACAGTAACATAATCACCATGCTACCCTGGTGTCACACAAAAAGGTTCATTATTAACATAGAACAAGAGGGCACAGGTTTATGGTGAGAGGGGAAAGATTTAAAAAGGACCAGAATAGTAACTTTTCCCATGCAGAGGGAGATGCATGTATGGAACAAGTTGCCAGAGGTGCTGGAGGCGGCTGATGCAATAACAATATTTAAAAGACGTCTAGATAGGTGCATGAATAGAAAGGGTTGAGAGGGACCAAATAGTGGCAAATGGGACTAGGTCAGAATGGGATATCTAGTCAGCACGGACGAGTTGGGACGTAGGGTCTATTTCTGTGCTGTACAACTCTATGACTATATTCTACTGACTCCAATAAAAGACAAAAAAAAAAATTAGAAGATCTTTCAAAACAAAAAAACCAAAATCCTCCACACCAAATATATATTCCTCCACATTATCTAGGAGGTACTGAGTTTATAAGAATGTGGGAACATGGGAAGAATAGGCCATTTGGCCCCTCGAGGTTGCTTCACCGTTCAACTATGTCGTACCTGATCATTTACTTCGACAGCATTTTACCCGTTGATTCTCATATCCAGAGGTATCTTTACAACGCACAAACAATTGTTAACTCCGTCTTGAACATATTTCATGATTAAAACTCCACAGTTCTCTGCACTACAAAACACCAAAGTTTTAATATCCATTGAGTGAAGAAATTCCTCATCTCCATCCTAAATAGCCTACCTCTTATTCTGAGAATGTCCCCTGTCCCCACCCCAATTCCAAATGTTGTGCAAAGGCAATAAGATCCTGAAGGAACCGTGTAGTTCTATCACAGAGCTTCACGTTTGAGTACAAATACCAGTGTGGGTGAAGTTAGACTATGCCAGAACTCTGGAAGCAGACTGTAATGCTGCCTCAGGAAGACTGAGGGCATACAGACATGAACACACAGGGAAGATAGTTTACTCCTTACCTAACGTATCTTTAGGTTGGAGCTTGGCATACCTATGATTACCATGTACGGCAGCAGTCAGTACGGACATATAATAAACAGCGTGGCTTTGAAGTCTAAGCCTGAAGGCAGTCCTTCACTTTGCCTCATCCTAAACCAGTCTCTAAAGAACCTAAATGTGCTATCAAACAACATGACCCCCAGTCAGGGGAAACATACTTCCTGCATCTACACTGTTGAAACATACAAAATTGTTATAGGACTCAATGAGCTACCTTGACCGAGGTCAGCAAATGCAGCGCAGCCCGCAGACTGAATCTGAATTTAATGGCTCTACTGCTCAGAAGATACATTTTCTAAGCCATCAGCGAAGATCTGCTGGTCTCCTAGAAACATGCAGCCCAACCAAACGGTATAATTTTAGATATAGCAAAAGTCCAATAATATACCTTTTAATTCATTCATGGTATGAGAGGATCAGTGGCAAGGCCAGCATTTGTTTCCCACCCTTAATTGCTGCTGCTGGGCCATTTCAAAATGCAGTTAAGACAACCACACTGCTGTCAGTCTGGAGTCAAATGCAGACCAGACCAGCTACGAATGGCAGATTACCTTCTCTGAAAAGGACTGGAGTGAACCAGATGGGTTTTAGTGAACCAGAAGTGTTTTAGTGACAAATCAATAGCGATTTCAGTGCTGACAACACTAGTTTTATATTCCATAATTTTTAATTGAATTTAAATTCCACTAGCTATTGTAGTTGGATTTGAATCTGTGTGGCAGAGCATGAGTCTGGAACGCTGGATTTTAATGCAGTGACATTACCATTCGCTACTCCTCCTTCATTTACATTTAAGACAAAATGGATAAAAAAAAGACACTGACAAGGAAGGGGCACAATAATTTCAACATGACTGTTGCACTTTTCTATAGAATGTGGAACCTCACAACCTGGTATTATAAATGGGGAAATCTCAAATGCGCTATCCACAATCCAGAACTCAATGAATATTAACATTTTGATCATCTCCCTCACAGATTAGGGAATAGTCAGAAATGTGCTCAAATATACCCAGCAATGTTAAATCAAGGATGGAGAACTGTTTCACCCAACAGCCAAAATAATCAAATGTCGCAAGCTTGTCAATGTCACAACTTCTACCAATAAAAGAAATAATAATAATTAAACAGCATGCAAATCTTTTGAAATGTATTCAACCTTGGTCAGAATAAACAACACAATCTAAAAAGATCACTTAAATGAGAACAAAATAATGTCACATGAACCCTTTAATTTGAAATGGTCTTAAAAAGAAACCTTGTAGATATCGTCATGTTCAGGATATTTCACGGAATAATTTGAGGGGTAAAGATAGTTTAGTAAGTTAATGCCCATATCTGAATCACCAGGGGCTGCAGAAGTGGAAGCTAACATTTCTGATCAACTCTTTGCCCCAAAACTACACATAATTTTGCAATTTCAATCTGGGAAAAATAAACAAACATGAGAGGACTTACTTTTCTTCCCGTAAGGTTTCCTCTTTGTCTTAGGGGCTTCTGTTGATTTCGTGGCAGGTTTTTCCAGAGCTGGATTAAAATAAAAAAAGAAATTAGTGTACTACAACAAAGACCCATCTTTCCAAAGGCAATCTGAATGGGAGTGGACAACATAAACATTAGGGTCACAGGTAAAGAAAAAAATACAAGATCCATAGTTCTTCTACTCATATTCATTGGGGTGCAGCAGCCAAAGGATGACAGTCAGGGTTAACATTATTTATTCATAATGGATTCATCACAATAGTAGTCTTTGCTTGAACGCAACTTCTTGCTCTTTATGGTTATTCCTTCACCTCACTACTCTCAGTGTGCAACCAAGAAGGCAACTGACACTACATTTTTACTATGGTTGAACACAGGATAATTGTAACCATGGGTCACTTACATTCGACTCTTCTTATCCCTGCACTACTTGCCAGTCAAGATGCTGAATCCGCAACATACATTCTACTTCCTGCAACCACTTCCTGATATTTTCCAGAGTCCTCCATGGCTGATTTTAGCAGTAAGAAAACATATCTGACCATTCACTCTCACACACCATTTGCCACTTGTGCAGGAGAACAAGACTGAGATTATGAATTCACTCCATGATCATCTTTGCTTTCCTACTGCTCTAGCATCGCCTGGACTTGCTTCCATTCCTCATGTTCCCATAAAACCAAAAAAAAAAGAGAATAATCAAATGATGAGCTTTTTCTTCCCCCATAACGCTTTTCCTTCAAATATTGAATTAATTATCTTTTGAAAGTTATTACCAAATCTCCACTTCGCAGAAATGCATTCTGATCACAACTTGTTGTGTTGTGATCTCATCACAGATTCCTTTGTGAATCACATCAAATCTGTGTCCTCTGGTTTCCAATCCATCTGCCAGCTGAAAGAATGTTTATTGCTGAATTACCCTTCAAAACCAATTAGCATTTTGAGCACCCCCGTTAAATGCCATCTTACCATGCTCAGCTCTAAAGACAGCAATCCTGGCTTTTCTAGCAAATACTTCATTCTGAGTACCATCTCTTCTGCACCTGCTCCAAAGCTTTGACATTCTTGCCAAAATGCAGCACCCAGTACTGAACAAAGCACCCCAAGTGAGGACCATATGCCTGATTTATAAAGGTTTAGCTTAACTTTTTTGTATTCTACAAGAATCCCCAAAAAAACCCATCTTAACTTGTCCAGCAATACAAACCTCCCATCCCTGCACCCTCTTTAAAACTGTATCATTTAGTTTATATTGCCTCTTTGTTCTGTCCATGAAATATATCACTTCACACTTCTCTGCATTAATTTTTCCAGCCCCCCCACCCCAGTTCCAGCCTCGCCTATAAATGGAAACATCCTTTCAGAACCCAACTTAATCAAATCTCATCAGGAGTTCCATTAAAATTACCTCTCATTCTTCTAAATTCCAATTTTCAAAGACCCAAGCTGTTCGACCTTTCTTCATAAGGTAAGCCCTCCACAAGACTGCTCTCCTTGAAACGAAGGTTAAGACATTGTCTAACTCATGTTTTCAAAATGACTTCACCAACTCAGTCAAGGTCATAGATACCAAAAGCTTTGCCAAAGGAACTAGAGGGGGGAATGGAAAAACTGCTCCACTCAGTTGTTAGTTTCCGAAATACTTAAGTGGAAAAGATGGTGGAAGCCGCAGCCAGAGGTAATTTTGAAAGGAGTTGGATAGATACGGGAGTTGCAGACAAGAGGGAAAAAAAAAAAGATCTAGGAGGTCAAGTGTGAGGGCTCTTTCAAAGAACCAGCACTAAATGGTCACCTTCTGTACTGCAATCACTATGTTTGACGTATATGCACTTCAAACCCATCTTTGAGTGCTTTGCATTTGTCCCTTAGCAGAATCTTCCTTATGGAATGCTATTTGCTTCTCCCAGTCTTCTGTAAACCTTGTTTACCTCGTTTATCTTCCCCACTGTTTCATCTGATGGCTATTCGCCTATTAAATTAGTTTAAGCCTTCCTAAATAGTATTCCCCAAAACCTTGGTCCAGAGGGTTGTGGACCAATATATTTAAGGATGGGATTGGCAAATGTTTGGTTTTTCAGGGAACTGAGGGCCATGGGGGAAAGAGGGCAAGAAAGTAACATTGAAGCCTGAGATCAGCTATTATTGCATCAAATTAAGCAATTTGCACTTATTCTCTTTGAGATGCGGATAGAAGTCTTCCTGCAAAATAAAAGGTTTCTTAGAACAGTTGTCACCTCCTGCAGTGAATACTAATTTATTGAAATTCTTTTATTCACACGTGTGATGTGGGCATTGCTGGCTGGCCAGCATTAATTGCCCTTGAGAAGGTAATGTTCCCATACATCTACTGCTTTTGTCCTTCTAGATGGAAGTCGTCATGGGTTTCAAAAGGTGCTATCTAAGGATCTCTGGTGAATTTCTGCAATGCATCTTGCAGATAGTACACACTGTTGCCACTGAGCATTGGTGATAGAGGGAAAGGATGTTTTGTGGATGTGATGGCAATCAAGCATGCTGCTTTGTCCTGGATGGTGTTGAGCTTCTTGAGTGTTGTTGAGGCTGCACTCATCCAGGCAAGTGGGGAGTATTCCATCACACTCCTGACTTGTGCCTTGTAGGTGGCAGACAGGCTTTGGGGAGTCAAAAAGGGAGCTACTTGCAGTAGTATTTCTAGCCTCTGACCTGCTCGTAGCCATTGTACTTCATTGGAGAGTCTAGTTCAGTTTCTGATCAATGACATTGACAGTGGGGCATTCAGTGATGGCAATGCCATTGAATGCCAAGGGATGGAGGCCAGGTTGTCTCTTATTGAAGATGGTCATTGCCTGGCATTTGTGTGGCATGAATGTTACTTGCCATTTTTCAGCCCAAGACTTCAAGGGAATGTTGGAGTGATTTCTTGCTGGAATGAAAGCTATCCCATATTAGTGAGAGATGCTATACCAGTGATCAGTCAGCCCAATTCATTTATTGGACGGGTTTTGATCAAAGGGTGCCCTCAGGAGTACAATTCAGACGTTTGCCCCCAACGAGCCCGAGCTTTTTAAATTCTGGGTTTCAGGCTCTGCAGGTGATCATAAGGATTTCGAGAGGAGTAGAGGGAGCATAATTATAAAGCCTTACAGTTGAGCAGTTGAGATAAATAGGCCTTCTCTAGTCTGCCATTTTTCTAATGCTTTTACAAAGGCAGAAGCTGAGAAGGGTTACTGGACCTGAAACATTAACTCTTCTTTCTCTCTACAAATACTGCCAGACCTGCTGAGTTTTTCCAACAATTTCTGTTTTTGTTTCAGACACTGAGAAAGACTGGAAGGATGACAGAAACGTAAATTTGCTAATGAAGATTGTTTAAAAAGAAATCTTGAGGTCTGGCCTGAGCTTGTATGACAAACAGAAGAACTCATGCTAAAGAGGTTCTGAGGAGGCTTTTAAAAACAAAAAGAGGAAAAATAGTGCCTATTCTTGAATTCCTAATAAATACTTCCATAGAGCAGGGCAGGCATCAGAAAACTTAGTAACTGTCAGTGCATGAAGGAGAGGGGGCTGTGGGGGCTGGGTGCAGACAGTCATAGTCAAAAGAATAGTGCATTCAGGTGGGCAGAGGATTGAACGGCACTGCAGATAATGGGGAAAGTTACTATATGGTTATTTAGAGGTGGGCAGAAAGATTTTGGGCAGACTGGGAATCCAAAGCAATTTGTTAAGGACTGTAGAAATCAAGAAAACAATAGGGTTAATAATGGTTTATTAAATTTAATTCCCATTGCAGCTGAAGGCTAAATTGAGACAAATTTTATATCAATTTTTATATGAAATGCAAAAGAAAAGATCAGGTGAAAATTCACCAAAATTTTATCCAAAAACAACAACGATCAATCTTCGAAACTTCAAACTTCCTTGAGATTATCTATTGCTCCCCTCTGATGCAGAAATCCTTCAATCACCTCTGAATTTATTTGCATTTCTACACCACACTGCACAGAAAGCCAAGTCAATCATCCTCTTAAGAATGTCACCACATGCCAAGCTGTTAATGTCTTTAAAGAATTTGTGAACCCGACATTCAAGTGCGGGGCAACCTGGAACAGTTCATGTAGGGCAGAATTCTGAACAGATTGCACTTCATCAAGAGGGATGGGTGACAGGCCAATGAAAACTCGAGTGTACTTAAAAATTATTTTCTAAGCACACAGGTATCAATGGTTAGGCCAGGAATTGGTACCAATTTCTAGTTGCCATGAAGATGATGGTGGTGAGCCACCTGTTTGAACAACTGCAGACCGCCTGCTAGTGAGGTTCAGAGTAATTCAATCTGGAAGCAATGCAGGCAGAAGGAGGCAATGTTCAGGGGAGCTCTTAGTGAGGGACAGTACATGTAGAGTTTAAAACTCATTTCATTATCAAATTAAGAGACAATTTCACAAGCTGTTTTAATCTGAAGGAAAGCTAGAGATCTATAGAGAATCAGCAGCAAAGGAGCTGAGCTCGCAGTGAGAGCAGAGCAGGAGGGATTTAAAGATGATGTTTAATTAGAGGAAAGCATGCCCTCCTGCAAAACAAAATCAGCAATCTAGAAGTGTAGTAGTAACAAGGGAGTGGCAGAGTTGTATCATCAATCTACTTAATGCTATATCTACAGATATTCTGATGAAATCAGCAGTTTGAGTGCTGTTGTCTGCCCTAACTTTGGTATTGACATCTGTACTTTTTGAGACAGACCCCAACAAAAAAGATACGAAAAGTTCTTATTTCTGGGATTCAGGGGGAAAAGGAGTGCTCAAAGCAGCTTAGAAAGCAAGGAGCTGTATAAGTGACACAGCTAAAAAGCAATAAAAACTGAAGACTGGGTTCTAACAGCTGAGATAGTGAAGAAAACTTACTACTGTTGCCTCAGTTTTTAATCAGAGCCAGATTTACTACATATCAGGGGGTTATTGAGCTTTCAGTTGTAAGCAACTCAAGGTAGTCCAGGTCATCAGGACTGTAATGAAAGGAGAAAAAGAGAGGTTCTGAAGAGGGGTGCCCTTTCGTTGACAATCATATACTGAAACTCAGATGCAGAAAGCTGTTGTTCGAGGCAATTGCAGGATAAAATTCTATGTGACAAAAAGGACGTGAACGTAACCACTGGAAGAATGAGTTGTGAAGGCCTTTGGGCCGGATATGACATATTTGTGTGTTAAAGAGACTACCAGCAAATCCATGAGACCTATCATTCTAACAACTGGCTTATTAAAAGCAAACATCTGACTATTTTGGTTGGTGGTCATAGGTAGAGTCTAGACTGTGCTCAAACAAGCCACAACGGCAAAACCCAAACCATCTCCTGTTAGGTGTGATTCTGCAATTGGGCAGCAATTGCTAAACAATCCTCCATCTGGTAACAGCTACACTGCCTGCCAATTTAAGACAATCAGAATGCTGGAGAGAAGCTACACATATTCGCATTCAGGACCCATTCTCTGAAAAGCAAACAAATACGTTCAAGCCTTGCACTTTTAAAACATTTTCAGAACTTGGGGATCCTGTAGGTCTTCAAAACTACACTTGCGCCAATCTGAATCAATTTGTCAACCAATCTGCATTCCTTTCCTCCTGTAGTATAAACTGCGATAGTTTGAAATTTGACATTCATGCATTTGTCTTAATGATTGCAAGGTGAAAACCATCAGGAACATGTCTCCTTCTAGCATTGTTCAAATTCTGTACTACAAAGTAACTGTTTGCAAATCTAACTCAGCTAAAAAGTGCAATTTACAGTTTTAATTGAATATAATTTTTCAGTTGATTCATGTTTCATTTATGTTGTATTTGGATTGATTGTTAAAGTAGGAGGTACAAAAAGTGAAACCCTGTCCATTTGTTTCTTTTAGTGGCTTCAATTGGGAAATTCAGCTCTTTTCATTCATTGATCTATACAGGGATTGTTAGAAATCTGACACTAATGGGGAGAATAAAATATAAAGGCACAAAGTATAGATACTTATAAGATTCCACAAGCCAATGTGGAGGAAAAGGAAAAAAGACTTGCATTTCAATAGCATCTTTGTGACCAGAGACAATGCCAAAGTGATTTATAGCCAATGAATTCCCAACCAAAGTATGAGGTAAAGTTACTTGTAATATGGAAAACATAGCAGTCAACATGTGCACAGTAAGCTTCTACGAACAGTAATGTGATCATAACTGGTTCTTGGTTTAAGGGGTGTCCCAGCAGAAATCCCTGCTCATTGTGATGCCTAGTGATCTCCTAACATCCACCAGAGGATGGACAATACCTCAGTTTAATACCTCATTCTAAATGCAGTATCTTCAATAATTAAGAATCTCCCCCTCTGAACTGCATTAATCTGAATATTGCGCTCTCGCCCCAACAGCTGGATCAGAACCTTCAACATTCTAATTCACAGACAAGAGGGTTACCATTTACGCCATAGTGAAGATGCATTGACAGCATTTAGGTGGGTGGGAACTGAACCAAGAGAGGAGGTGCCATGTGGAGCGAGACATGATAATTAACTTAATTAACTATCACAAGAGTTACAAAACTAATTCTGCAAGAAGAGATACTTGCGCCATTTGGAGAAAAGGGTTACCATTTTTGGCACTTTACCTGGATCTACAGGCATTTGGAGTTGATAGCCGGTCAACTCACACCAGCCCACTGGATACAGGTCTGACGACTCACAGTCTACCCATTGATCATATTCATCACTCCACCCGTCAAAATGGATCCGCAATAGACGATTCACTATGCGTGTCACTGTAGCGACGCAGATCAGGCGTGGTTCCATCAGGTCGACGGCCTCAAGTTTCATTCCAGGTTCAAACCCATGGTATGGAATGTCCTGAAAAAAGATGAAAACCAAAGCTGTTTTTAATCCTACAATCCTAGGCCTTGCAACATATTGCAAAGGGAGGGTATATTTTTGCTCCTTAGATCTTAGGTCTACTGTAGCCTGTAGGCTCTGGGAACACAAGTAGACAAGATGACAGATCAGGCTTGTTCCATCTCTGCAATTTCACCTTTTTAATATCCTAACTTCTTATCAATTATGTACATCCTTCAATACTTCTCCCCTCCAAAGCAAGAGCCCAATTTTGTTCAACATATTCTATCATAGAATAGAAATCAGAATCCTACAATGTGGAAACAGGCTATTCAGCCCAACAAGTCCACACCGACCCTCCAAACAGCATCCCACCCAGAACCAACCCTCCAAGCTTTCTCTGTAACCCTGCATTTCCCACCACTAACACACCTAACCTAGACATCCCTGAACACTAAGGGACAATTTAGCATGGCCAATTCACCTAGACTGCACACCGGAGCACCCGGCAGAAACCCACGCAGACATGAGGAGTACGTCAGAGGCTGGATTCGAACCTGGGTCCCTGGCGCTGAGAGGCAGCAGTGCCAATGACTGAGCCACTGTGCCATCCTATTGTTTTGAAATAAAATATTCCCCATTCTTCCAAAGACTCATTAGATTATGGCATGCTTGCCTTTATTGGTTGGGGAATTGAGTACAAGAGTCAGAATTCCATATTGCAGCTTTATAAGACTTTGGTTAGGCCACACTTACAGTATTGCTTTCAGTTCTGGTCACTACATTACAAGAAGGATGTGGAGGCTTTGAAAAGGGTACAGAAGAGGTTTACCAGGATTCTGCCTGGATTAGAGGGTATGACCTATAAAAGGACAAGCTAGAAAAACTCGGCTTGTTTTCTCTGGAGCGGCGGAGGCTGAGGGGAGGTTTGATAGAATTCTATAAAATTATGAGATGCACAGATAAGGTTAGTAGTCACAATCTTTTATTCCCCCCCGCCAAAGAGTTAAAATGTCTAATACTAGGGGACATGCATTTAAGGTGACTTGGGGAAAGTTTAAAGGAGATGTGAGGGGCAAGTTTTTTTTTTATACACACTGGTAGGAGTCTGGAACGCGCTAGTAGGGGTAGTGGTGGAGGCAGATCCGACAGTGGTGCTTAAGCACATGAACATGCAAGTAATGGAGGGATATGGACCAAGGGCAGGCATCACGTTCAGCACAGCATCGTGGGCCAAAGGGTACATTCCTGTGCAGTACTGTTCTATGTTCTAAAGGAATATTGCCCTTGGGGGGTTTGTAGGGCAGCAAGTGGTTTAGTGGTTAGCACTGCTGCCTCACAGCACTAGGGACCTGGGTTAAATTCCACCCTCAGGCGACTGTCTGTGTGGACTTTGCACATTCTCCCTGTGTCGACTTTGCACATTCTCCCTGTGTCTGTGTGGATTTCTGCCAGGTGTTCCAGTTTCCTCCCACAGTCCAAAGTTGTGCAAGTTAGGTGGATCGGCCATGTTAAATTACCCAGTGTTCAGGGATGTGTAGGTTAGGTGTGTTAGCCATAGGAAATGCAGGGATAGGGTAGGGGCATGGACGTAGGTGGAATGCTCTTCCGAGGGTTGTTGTGGACTTGTTAGGCCCAATGGCTGGTTTCCATGCTGTGAGGATTCTATTCTGTAAAATAGAAATATAGCAGTAGGCCATTCAGTCCATAGGAAACAGAGTAGGAATAGGGGTCGCATGATGGCTCAATGGTTAGCCCTGCGAACTCACAACGCCAGGGACCTGGGTTCAATTCCACCCTCGGGCGACTCTGTGTGGAGTCTGCACATTCTCCCCGTGTCTGTGCGGGTTTCCTCCGGGTGCTCCGGTTTCCTCCCACAGTCCAAAGATGTGCAGGTTAGGTGGATTGGCCATGCTAAATTGCCTGTAGTATCCAGGGGAATGTAAATTAGGTGGATTAGACATGGGAAATGCAGGGTTACAAGGAAAGGGTAGAGGGATAGGCCTGGGTGGGATGCTCTTCGGAGGGGTGGTGTGCATTTGTTGGGCCGAATGGCCCGTTTCCACACTGTGGGGATTCTATGATAATGTAATTCACTTTCAACCATCTTAATTATTTAAGATTATGCCCCTCGGTGGAGAGGAATAACATGAAGTATATTCGTGGCCTTCCATATCCAGTAGTCACTGCTATAAAATTATGCAGAAAGTATCTGCCTTACTTACCCTAATGAATAGACTTGCAGGAGCTGCTTTGGAACCAGTATCTCTCAAGTATGTATCCCAGTCAAAGCACTTCTCCCAACCTGGAATCAGAAGATAGAGAAGCCCATGAGCAGAGAATTTTCTCACTGTATAGCAAATCAAACAAGAGGATAATGAGGCATGACGGAGGCATTTGAACAAGGTGCTCACTTACAATAAACATGCATATTAAATAACGCCCCATCCAAGGACATTTAAGCAGCAAGTGTCCAAACCTCCAATGGAAAATGCAGTTATAGAAAAACAAACGCCAACAGGAGCTTCTCAGCCCTGTTCTTCCATTTACATAAAGATGTGTGTTGAAATAAGCCATTCAGCCCAACCAGTCTGTGTTGGCATTTAGTTCCCCTCTGGCCTCATTCCACCCTTTCCTCATTTAATTCAACCATCCAATCATTATTTTGCTTCTCTCTCTAGTTTTTCACTTAAATGCATCTATTCACTTAAACCACTGTCAGCAGGTTTCTCATTCTCACCACTGAATGAGATCCTGGCCGATCTAAGTTCTAACATCATCCATCCAACCTGGTTCCACATCCCTCAATACCCTTGGACAAACCTGTCTCAGATTGACTTTATCTATTCAACCAGAATTTACTGCTTTTTCTGAGCATACTCCACACTTCTCTGACCTCTTCCATAAAGAAACCGCTTCCCAATTTCTCTCCCAATTGACCCGACTCTGACTTTACATTTATGTCCTCTGCCACTGCCTTCTTTCAATCCCACTTATGATCATCTTCTACTTTCCAAGGACCACAAGGCTGGATTATCTAATTTCGACTCACCTACAACTCTAGTTCACTGAGCCTAATCTACATGGTGGTTAATGTACACTGCATCTGCTCTAAGCTCAATATGTATTTTCTAAGGTGTGGTAACCAGAGCAGAGTACTTCAGAATGGTCGAAGCAAAACTTTGTATATCTGCAGAAAAAGTTCCCTTTTTATTCTAGTCCTCTAGACACAAACACCATTCGCCGGTGTGAATATCTCATCAACAATATCTCCAATTGCATCTCATTAACAATCCAAAATTAGATTAACTATAGAAAGGTGGCTGACTGGTGACTTAAGTAGGGCCTGGGAGTCCAAAAATATCAGCAAAAGGCTAGAAAAGTATCTCCCACAGTCACAAGTGAAGTACTGCATTCTATGGATGTGTCAATCAGACTGAAGAGGATGCCTATTGAAATATGGGAAAGGTAGAGAATCACCTGGAAGGACAGAAAGACCAACGAGTGGGTTAGATCAAGAGTTGAAGTTCATGGACCAAAGGGCCACTCAGCACAGTTAGAAGATGATAGATAAACAAAGCTGTACCAACTTTGGCCTGGCACAATTGAAGGAAAAACCAAGAGTTAAAACAGAAGAGGAAAGAATAAACTCAGAAAAAAGTGGGAGATGGCCCGAAAGAACCTGAAGAAAGGCAAAGAAGCGATACAATGCCAATTGCCTCACTGTGGCTACGGTGACAGGAACAAACAAATTTAAAGTTAATAATTTTTATGATCCCAACTGATGGTAATAAGGGATAAGTCAGATCCCGGAATTTGGTCTGGCTTGCTGGTCCAGAGATCTTTTTCTCTCTATTTGGCTTGAGAACCATCTGCCATAGGTTTCACTCAGTCACTCAAGCTACCAATGTCTTTTTGTAATTTTACTCCAATCCACACCACGATGGCACCAATGACAAACTTAAATACACGGCTCTCTTGTCAATATCATCTGCCACATATGGGGCAGGTGATGCCTAAAGGGTTAAGTCGATGAGGTTTTTTTGGAGATTTGCACATACTTTAATGTCTCAACTTCATCTCTGCGTGCTCCCAAGTAAGTCTCTTGATATATTTCATGCCTTCCTGAAATGACCTTCCCTATTTTGGTCAGTCACAACCCACAAAGTGAAAATGTTTAACCTGTTCAGGATACCTTTGGAGAATATCCTGAGGTTTGACTGCTGTCTTCCTGGAAGTGTCCTGCTGTGACCAAGTTTTGAGTAGAGCAGTTGCTTCAGGTTTCTGGTGCAAGGCTCACAAATTATATGTACCATCCAGTTGACCTGATTTTGAGTGATTAACGCCTGAAAGTGGGCATTTTAGTTTGGAGGAGGATACTGCTCATAGTTGAGGACCCAGACAGTTCCTTGTGGAACAACTCCAGCCATTTTATTCAAATTGGAATACGTACACATCATGCCTATTCTTTGTCTACTATTACCGAGCCAATCCCTTAACTAGGACAATAATTGGCTTTCAACCCCAATAGGTTTAATTATGGTTACCAGTTTCTTATGTGGAACCTTGTTAAATGTCTTCTGGTAATCTGCAAACTGCATCCACAGATATTCCACTGTCTACTAAAGTTAACCCACCGCCCCCACATCTCCGCTCCCCTCCGCCCCCCCAAAAAAAAAATCAATGAAGCATGACCGATCATTCAAAAAATTTTATATTGGCTAATGGAAGCCAGTTTTATCCTCACGGTCATTCTGTTCCTCAGTTTACAACAACCGGTCACTCTCTTGACACTGGACAATTGTCAGTTAAACTAAAAGGAAAGGCTGAAGGATTCAGGCCATCTTCAATCTGCACTGATTATAGCTGAGTGATGGGATAGAGTCAGAGAGGTACAGCATAGAAACAAACCCTTCAGTGTAAGGCGTCCATACCGACCAGATTTGCCAGCAATTGGCCCATATCCCTTAAAATTCTTCCTATTCACATACCCATCCAGATGACTTTTAAATGTAATTGTACCAGCCTCCACCACTTCCTCTGGCAGTTCATTCCATATACGCACCACCCTCTGCATGAAGAAGTTGCCCCTCAAGTCCTTTTCAAATCTTTCCCCCTCTCACCTTAAACCTATGCCCTCTAGTTTTGGACTTCCCTACCCTGGGGAAAAGGCCTTAGTTGTTCACCCTATCCATGCGCCTCATATGAAGGGCCTCCACAACCAGTGAACAAGTGAAGGAATGCTTCAAGGTTTCCACTCATCCAGTGTCTCCTGCTGGAATGAATTAAGAGCATGAAGGGGTATTATACACATTCATGGAAACATCAGGTAACACATCAATTTCCAGGGTCAAATAGTGCATAGTAAGTGTATGCCGGCTATGCTTACTATCTAGCTTCACACATTCAAAACAAACCTTGGACAGGACAGCACAACAGAACTTTGCGTCAGCCAACATTCTCTCCGGGGACGTGAACAGTGTCAGTGGGACAAGAAGTGGTGGATAAAGGGGGAAAAAAAAAAGGAGGGAAAACAGAAACAAAACAACAATTTTGTTCTCTCCTGGGATCTAAATTCACTCGTACTCAGGAGGCTTCATCCATGCTGCTATCCATAATTTTATTTGGGGCTCTTCCTTTGCTAATATTTGATAACCATTTAAAAAGGTGGCAGTTTAGTTTCAACATGTGACTTACCTCTGGGAGTCGTTAATTCAATGTCATTCTTCTTGCAGAATCCCACAGGAAAGATGCAACAAGAGGAAGCATGATAACAGAACCAGTCAGTACCGTCAGCCGCCTCGCATCCATCAATTCCAATCATCAGATATCCATCCAACAATACCTGTTGTTCCACAAGATACAAAGCAGTTAATCACTTCTGCTGGTCTTGTATAATATGATTTCTGCCCCAAATTAACCAGCTCATCTGAAACCTAGCATCAGGAAAGACAATATTTTCGCCACTTGGCAATTGGTTTTGTTAGCAAAATCAAATGCAGTTGGTTTAAAGGGAGCAGGGACACAGTATTGACTAAGCGGCAGAAAGCAAAATGTTTAGCGTTTAATTATTATTTTTAATTATGATTTTTTCTTTTACTATTGGTGCTTCCTACACTTGATTGGTTAAGGCTGGGTGTGAACTCAGGGTAAAGTAAGCATAGCTGGAAAGCCAGAGCTCAAGCGTAGAGAAGACATTAAACCTCAATAAATAAAATTTGTTATAGATCAAAATTTGTGTAATTGCTGCATAAATCAGAGACACAAAATATGCAACCGAGTGCAGTACTGTAGTGGAGAAATTTGGTTTTATAGACTAGAGGAATTGTATGGTCGGCACTACCCAGGGGTTGGGATCACTACACCTTTTGGATACAGACTAATGACCTGCATTCAGGAAGAATACATGCAATTTACCATCAAAAATGATACATATTCAGAAATGTAGCAAACAGGAAGAGGATATTAACATGTTTCAGTAGGACACAGGTTTATTGGTGAAATGGACAGAAATGCAAAAAGGTGAAGTTTATGTAAAAATGACTCATGTCAGCAGCAAGAATGAAGAGAGATCAGCTACAATTTTAAAGCGGTGCAGGGGGGAGGGTTCAGGGATAAAGATACCAGGTGCTCACACATATTGGACATTGACATGACAAGTCGTGAAAGCTGTTATGATATCATATAATGTCCTTAAATTTATCATTAGGGGCAGCACAATAAAGCAAAGGAGTTATGTTAATTTTTTTACATATATATAAAAGCTAGTCAGGTCCCAGTTGGAGTATTAAGTGAAATCAGGGCAACAACACTTTGGGTAAAACATGGCCTTAGAGAGAATGCAAATACCCAATGAAGTGGTATGAACAGATACAAACATAAGAAATAAATTAGGACATTTGGCCCTTCAAGCTGGCCTTGCCATTTAATAGGATCACGGGCGATCTTAAACCTTAATTCCATTTTCTTGTGCCATCCCTCGATACATTTTTGGATTCTACTCTGTTTTCAATATAGTTAATAATTAAACACCCACAGCTCTCTAGTGGTAGATAAATCCAAAGATGCATAATCCCAAGAGAAGAAATTTCTCCTTTCAGTTCTAAATGGCCAACCCTTTATTCTGAGCCGATGATCTCTGGAACTAGACTCCCCAGCAGGGGAAACATCCTCCCAACAGTTCTTTTTTGTCAAGCCCCTTAAGAATGCCGCACACTTCAAAAGGATCACCTTACATTATTCTAAATTCTATGATGTGCAGGCCTAGACTGATTAGTATCTCTTCAAAGAAAAACCCTAATCCCAGCAATCAATCCAGTGTGTAGTGATTGTAACGAGGTCAGCCATGTCAACCTCAGAGCATGAGTTCCCTGATTGGATCAGGTTAACAGACTCAATCAGGGAGCCCTGGCTGACAGATATAAACAGCAATGTCAGACATCCTGTTCACTCAAAACGGGCTCAGTGTCAAGTTCTCTGCAGATGTAAATAAAGGATTACTTGATAATGGGATACTGGCCTCTGTGGAGTTATTTCATAGCGAACATTGATTATTCTCCTTCAAGTATATTCTTCGAAACATAATACTCCCAATGTGGTCTCACCAACGTCCTATACATCTACATTAAGACTTTGCTCTTAATACTGCAATCTATTCACAATAATTGTCATTGGGTTACTTATTTTCCTAAATTCTCACTGTAGGTCCATGGTAACTCAGTTATTCATGGGCTATGACAACCAGGTCCCTCTATACACCAATGTTTCCCAGTCTCTCTCCTTTTAAAAATATTCTACTTTTCTGCCCAAAGTGAATAAATACGTTTAGTCTAGATGTTCTTACCTACTTGCTCAACCTATTCTATCTGGATGCATCACGACTTGGTACGGCAACTGCTCTGCCCAGGATGGTAAGAAACGAGAGAGTTGTGAATACAGTCATCAAGCACTTTTGTGCACCTTCTCTGCAGCCATAACATTGTATTCCACGCCCTGTTCCATCACCCTATGAACTTTATGGTATGAGCGGCCTGTACTGCACATAGGTACATGTGACAATAATTAATCGAATCAGACTAAACACTCTTATATTCCCTTGCAAGTTCTTCATAGATTTAAAGAGCTGGTACAGCAAGATATTAGGACGGTAAGTGGCATGTTGGCTTTTATTGCAACAGGATTGGAATGCAGAAATAAAGAAATCTTGTGAAAGTTGCACAAGCTTTTGGTGAGACCATATTTGGAGTAGTGCACAGTTTGGTCTCCACCTTTATAAAAAGGATCTACTTGCATTAAAGTTAGTACAGGTATGTCTAATAAATTGGTCCCTGGGATGAAGTAGAACTATGATGAGGAACTGAGTAAATCAGGCCTATATTCTCTGGAGTTTTGAAAAAATGAGTAAATCCAATTGAAATCCCTTGATAGGAAAGATAGATTGTTTCTTCTGGTCAGGGAATCTAAATCACAGGGGCATTTTCTTGGGATAATGGGCTGATTGTTTAGGCCCGAGACAAGAAATTATTTCATTCAAAGAAAGCTACAGACAGGTTAAGTATGTAGTAAAAACTTGGTGGATGGAATATAATGTGAGATTATGCACCAAGATAGGAAGGAAAGAAGAGCGAAATATTCTTTAAATGGAAAAAAAAAGCAGAAAACTTCGGCAGAGGGTCTTTTGGGCCTCCTTGTGCCTAAATCATAAAAAGCTAGCATCCAAGTTCAGTAGGTAATAGGGAAGGCAAATGGAGTGTTGGCCTTTATTTCAAAGGGATAGGAGTAGGAAAGTCTTGTTAAAACTCTACAATGCACTAGTTAAACCACAGCTGGAATAATGTGAACAATTTTGGGGCCCTTATTTAAGATACACTGTCATTGGAGACAGTCCAGAGAAGGTTTACTACTATAGAATCCCTACAGTGTAGAAACAGGCCATTCAGACCATCGAGTCCACACTGACCCTGCAAACAGCATCGCACCCAGACCCAAACCATCCCTGTAACTCTGCATTTCCCATGGCTAGCCTGCACATCTCTGGGCACTGGGCAATTTAGCCTGGCCAATCCCCGTAAGCTGTGCATCTTTGGACCAGGGGGAGGGGGGTGGGTGGACACAGCACCGGACCATCCAGAAGTAGTTCAGGCAAGCACGGGGAGCATATTCATACGGCAGAAAGACAGCTGCTTGAGGGTGGAATTGAACCCAGGTCCCTGCTGCTGTGAGGCAGCAATGCTAACCATTGAGCTAGTGCCACCCTAGGCTGATCCTAGTTTGGACGAGCTGTCTTATGAGGAGCAGTTGAGTAGATTCCACACATTGGAATTTAGAACAATGAGAAGTAACCTTATTGAAACATACAAGACTCTTAGGGGATTTGACAGACATAAGATGCAGAAATGTTGCTTTCCCTCATGGGAGAGAAAGAGAGGGCATAACCTCAGAATAAAAGGTGATCTTTTTAAGACAGAGATGAGAGGAATTTTTACTCTCAGTAGTGAATTTGTGGAATTATTTTACTGCAGAGGGCTGTAGAGGCCGAGTTATTAATTGTATTCAGTGCCAAGTTCAACAGATTTTTAAATCAGTAGGGGAACCAAAGGTTATGGGGAAAGGCAGAAAGTGGAGCTAAGAATCATCGGATCAGCCACTATGCCTTTGAATAATGGCACAGGTTTGATGGGCTGAATGGCCTGCTTCTGCTCTTAATTCTTATGGTCACTGAAAGGGCTGTGAATTTATGGAAGTCTCTAGCCCAGAGGGCACTGAATACATACAAGGCTGGGCTAGACAGATCCCTGGAGGGAATCCATGCATACCTCAAGTGACCAGAAGGTGCAGTTCAAGCCTGCTCTCCTCCTCAGTGGGCCACATGGTCTACTCCGGCTCCGATTTGTTGTGCTCTCGTGTTTAGGAAAGTGACAATCGAACCGGGGTGACAGAGGTTAAAAAAAACTTCAAAAAGGCAAGAGTCACCATGATACAGGTATTTCTGTTATAATGAATGTTTCGTTAATGCAAATTTGCTGTAATGCAATTGATGAATAATGGACACTGTTTGGATAATGCGAACTTTCTACTGTACAGCGTAGAGATTTTATATAGCAATTTCCCTATAATGCGATTTTCTATAGCACAAGGTCACACAATCATGTTATAGGAGAAATACATGTATTGGAAAAGACCAGAGGTGTGGAGTGAATTGAAAGTAGTATTTAGAGAGCAGGCACAGGAACAATGGGCTAAAATGCCCTCCTTCTATTCTGTATCATTCTATAATGACCACAGCCATTACCCTCAATCCCTATCACACAGAGCACACTTGCCACTGATTAAATTCCCCATATCTTAGCCCCAGTACGAGGCTCAACCAGCACGCTTGCAAACTTGGTTTGATCCCGAGCTGAGCCTCCAACACCACATTCTCACCAAGACTGCCTCCTTTCAATTCCACAATATCCCACCTTTTCACACCAGCATCAGTTCTCCTGCTGTCATTACCGTCAGGCTTGAAGAATCTTATTAAACTTGAAATGTTAACTATTTCTCTCTCTGCAGATGTCATAACTGTCAAGTTGTCTTTTTTTTAAAAATTCATTCATGGAATGAGAGTCACTGGCTAGGCTAGCATTTATTGCCCATCTCCAGAGGCAGTTAAGAGTCAACGACATTGTTGTGGGTCTGGAGTCACGTGTAGTCCAGGCCAGGTAAGGACAGACATTAGAGAATCAGGTCAACCAAATCAGATTTTAACTAAATTCAAATTCCACCATCTGCCATGGCAGGGTTCAAATCTAGGTCCCCAGAACATTACCTGGGTCAATGGATTAACAGTGCAGCGACAACACC